TTATCAATCATGTTATTAAACTTGATTTTTCTTGGTTTGAAATATAAAAATGACATCAAAAGGATATTTTCCAATTAAATAGAATAACTCTTAAAGATTATAAAATCCTGAGAATAAATCTATAATTTAGAAAACTATAAGATATCCTTGAATGTCAAGATAATTTGATAACCACATAAGATAATATGTTGGAAATCTCCCCAAACACAATTTTCATCCTCAAGTTAAAATGAAAAGTACTTTTTCTTCTGATCATATCTGGATTTTTAATCTGACATGTGTGTTGTTAATCTAGATTTGGGAACAAAACAAATTACAAAGGGTTCAGAAAGTATTCAATTGCCTGAAAAAATCCTGGGAAGATGGTTTTCTAATGGATATAGGTCTAAATGAGTTGTGCGAAAATTAAAATACATTGGAAGTTCTTTCTTGACTTTGCACTGGTGACACTTTCATAATCATCTATGCAGCTTGAGATCTTCTAGAGACAAAGTAAAGGACTCTGGACACTCTCATTGAGTCTATTTTTAGTTCAACCTACAGCCATAAGATCTTTGCCAATTATCTCAGCTAACAATAAGAACACAGTACCATTAAATATTTGCTTATATCTTATTTGGCATATTACTAGCTAAGCGTATGGCTTTGGAGACATTGGATCTCTCTTCTAATCCTTATTTAGTGGCCTTACTAAAAAAAAAGGATAACATATACATCACAAAGCTAATAATATGCGCCATCACAGAGACCATCCCAAAATAAGAGCTCAATAAACTACAATTACCATTATTATGATTATGCTCATATAAATGTTATGATAGACAAAACAGGTGTTTTTATAGTCCACTTAGAGATGAAACAATCAAATCTTACAGAGTTTAAATAAGATGTCAATGTTTCATGTTCATGAAATGTATTACATCAGCGGTTAATATGAAACAAAAAAATAATTCAGTCCCTATTTTTGAGGACTTATGAATTAAGTTGGGGAAGAAGACTGAGAGAATTACAATCAGGATATGATGTTATGGGTGAACATAGAGAAGATGTCTTAGTTGAACAATATACATTTTCATGTGTAATGTCCAGACAAAAAGGTATTACTTTCTCAGTATTCATAGCATTATTCCTAAGCAAAGTCTCCTGTATTGATCTATTAATTGAAAAAAGAAAGGTTTGAATAAACAGACTAGAAGATATTTAAATTTAAAGAATCAAGGCTAGTTCTGTCACTCAGCTGAGTGGATCATGCATTTCTCAAAGGGTTTAGAGAAAGGCCTGTTCTCATTCTACACTTTGCCCCCATACTCAACATACTGAACTTTAACCATCCACCTCCCACCTTGAGTTGGTAAATAAGAAAATAGTTCTATATTCACATGTTTGGTTAAAAAAACACCCTCACTTAGTCACTACAATATGATCAACCTTGGGAATGTGATGAGAAATGAAGTTGTGGTAAAGCTGTGAACTAGTTAAGATTTATCGCAGTATTTTTTCCATAATGTTTATTTTCCTTGTAGCCTGAATTTCATCATGCTCAATCCAGCTTCATCAATACTTATTAAGCATCTACTACATTGTAGGCTCTAATCTGAGCTCTGAGAATCCAAAAATATATGCCTTATATCTTTAAAGTCTAATAATGTTTAGTTAAGAGGTAAGACTTGAAAGGAGGTAAATGCTTCAGGATATCTAGAAGCAGGCTCAGGGTAAGTTAATCTTTCTTCTTTACATTTAGAACTAGTTTTGCCTTTTAGTACCATTCCAAAGGGATATTCATATTCTGAATTAAATAGCAACTAGCAACTGCTGTGCTGACTACTTTTATCAATAAAATAACTCTAGTAGTACTTGCATGTTCAGCTTCTAAAAGTGTTCATTTGAGAGTCATCTCCATAGAAATAAAATAATCTATATTCTCTATTAGTTGGACAATAAATCCACTGAAGTAATTATCAGACAAAAGAAACGGATTCTTTCTTTTATCCTTATATTTTTATTTATTTTGAGTTAATTTCCTAGATTTCCCTTGACAATTTTTTTTTTGTAACACTTCAACATTACTCTGGAATAAAGACATAGACTTGACCAACAATGCAACTCTTCTATTTTTTTTTAAATGATTGCATTCTAATAGAATTATGAAATGGTAAAGATTTTTTTCGTAATACATTAATTTCTTTCCCTGCTACCTGAGGTTTATTTTTTTGATGTTTATTACAAGTGAGTTTGATTATATAAAGTGGAAGAAAAAGGATAGAGGCAGTAAATTAAACTAGCTATGAAAATTGTTATAACCACTTAAGAAGCTTACCAGAAAACACTTGTATTTTGATGATTTTTAGAGGGATTTTAACCAGTGATCACCAATATTTTATTCAAATACTACTTTTAATGACAACCTAGCATTACATTCTTTTTCAAAGATCACATTAGAATAGTAAACACATATGAAAAATTTCCACCAATATGTCATAATATACACCTAATAATTTTGCTAATAATTTTTGCAATAATTTACAACTTGAGAAAAAAACTGCATTATTATACGAGGCTGAGAAGTTCTATGTATATTTCAGTTACCCAGTTTTTGTGAAAAAAGTACTAGCATGGTTGAAATTTAGTAGATCTCAGTCAAAAATTAACTAAAAAACTAAAATACAACTGTTTTTCCTGTGTTCTCTACAACCTGCCAATTTCATTTCCTTTCCTCTATGGTTTCTCTGCAGGTTCACTTGGATCTTGGTGAGCTATGGCTTGTCTTAGTTAGACTCCTATGAGCAGGGATAATGAATACGCACATTTTACTGTATGTACAAATGTCTTTTTCTGCCCTATGGGCTGGTATTGAGACCATTTTTCATTGGAAAGTCAGACAATATAACTAAATCCCGTTGGCACAGGCATGCATAAGTTCCTATTGGCATACAAGTGGTAAGAAATATAGGGAGAAAGAAGAGTATAAAACAAGCTTAAAAGGAGGTAAAATCAGAGAAAAAAATGCTGGAATCGGAGGAAAATGAATCAGGGTGATTCTTTCAACTCAGAAAAACAAGTAAATGTAATATAAGTGTTGTGTTTCTGCAATTATATAGGATTTACAAGATGAACAGAATGATATGAAAGGCCAGAATTCTCTGCAAATGTTTAGGCAACTGAGATAACTATCTGGGTACTCTTTCTTAAATAAAGAAATAATCAGCTTCTGTTTATTCCTAGAACATCTTAATGAGAAAGTTCCAAAATATACCCCCCGCCCCAAATTGAATAACAACAACTTAGGTTTACAATGGAGATCTTGTGCTACGAATATTTAAAAATGACTGCTGAATCATTACAACATTAAATAATTAATTCATTTTTTAATAAAATGAAATAATAAATTCCAGTTCTGGTATTAGGGAATTGTAGCACATTCTAATTCTTTAAGAAATATATTTATTCTAGGTTACAATCAACATACACTTAAAAGCCAACTTGGAATCTAAGGTAAGTATTAACCCAAGTGTACTCCCTCAAAGAGCAGTCCCAGACACTCTGAAAAAATTAGTGATATTACTTTTACAGTAAGTTCTGAATACATAACACTTTGGGAATTGCTGCTTGAGATACTTAATTTGTGTGTGACATAAAACAGCCAGTAAATTTTAATTATGAGCATATTATATTGATTAAACTATCTCATTCCCTATCCTACATATTTTGGATAAATTAGTATGTCAAATATAATTTGGTAGAATTGATATGGACACTTCTTGTCACTTAAAATGAAAGCCCAGAAGGATTTAGAGTATTTACTTACTGCTTGCGTTTCATGATATTGAATTTTTTAATCCAAAGTATTTTGTATTAAATTTGAAAAAAATGCATATGTTGTTTTGCGTCGAAATGAGATGGTTTCACTGTATTGCAATAGAATAGAATAAAGAGCTTATGTCCAGTTAACTCTCAACTGCTTTCAATTTTTTCTCTTTTGATTTTTTTGACAGACCTCATAGAACTTGTAAAAGGCTACTTAGCACATTTGTTATACTCTAATGAAAAGCCTAGGTTGGGAAGGGCTACTAACCTGTTCTGATGTAGTAAAGTAATGATAAATAATTAATTGTTACAATTATTGGGGGAAAAAGAAGTGAATAAAGTACGGCGATTTTTGTACATAGTTTAGTCACAATTTCTATCAATGGAATTTTGAGCAATGTTATATGGGGGAAAAGTTTGGTTGTTAGTAGGAGGGAGGCTGAGAATGGCCTGTTTGTGGTTTCAAAAAAAAAAAAAAAAAAGGAGAGCGAGAAAGAGAGATCCCTGGAAGAAACAGAAATAAGATGATGACTCATTAAATGTAAGATCAAACTCTCTCTGAAAAATTGTTCATTAATTGGTCATTGTGTACCTCCGGAAATCAGAATAGGAAAAAGGTGCTGGTACCCTGCTGAATTTGGTCAAGGCTTCTAGATAGTTTCAGAATGGGCAATAAAGAACCCTACTATGCCTGCTTATTGCCCAAGTATTCAGTGAGAGAAAGATCAACCAAGGAAGCCACAAACTCAGAGGAAAGAGCCTCCCTTTGTAGTGCTCCCAACCTAGGTGAAGGACACTAAGACAGTAAAGAAGCTGGTGACCTGGGGTGAGGAGAGTCCTCTTTAATGTATCGGTCAATGAGTCCATGCTGTTAATTAATCTTAATACAACCTTGCCAACAGCGCTTACAACATTTGATGGTTGAAGAAAGATCACTGCTTGATTCAGACCAAGAAGGCAGTTCATAAATCTTACTTAGGACCTTCTTGGTCATAAGAATTGACACTGGAGTTTTCATAGATAGGCTTTGGAAAATGAATAGTCTCCCAATTCATGGTTCCTAATACAGGTTTCACTTTGGGAGACAGGGACTAAAAGAATACTGTAAGATGCATATTTTTAATTCTAATTTTATTTAACTATTTTGATGTCACCTCTATGAGAAGTCACATGCAGTGGAAGCTCCCAGGACTTACATCTCTTCCAATCAAGTCCTCCTGGTTTTCCACAATTCCCCAGGGGGCGATACCTATGGTACATATCTTCCCTCGAGACTTTGATGCATGGTCTTTTAAGGCATCTCCAACATGACGAATTACACCTAAAAGGAAAAAGAGAAGTATTACTTTTGTCTTTTAAAGCAATTACTTTTCATTGTTCTAAAAGAAATTGTGATAACTGTTTCTCCCAAGATTAAATATATTGGACATAAAATTTTGACACATTTCTACACAAACTGCACGTGTTTATTTGAATATTAACTTGTGCCTCTAACACCAGACACATTTGCCGGACTGGCATGTGAGCTCCAGGAATGCATTTCTTATCCTATTTTATAGGAAAAAAAATGCTTCTAACATCTAGAAAAACATAAATACCAGTCTTTAAACTTAGGAAATCTTTTTCTTGTATTACAAGCTTAATGATGTGTTAAGTGTGACTAAGAACCAATTCCATGACTGTGCCCTATAAAAAGCACCATATATAGTATTATATTTAATCTATACCACAGTTTGTGTAAAAGTTAGGTCATTCAAATAACGTAGTGACAGCTCAGATTTTGTCAACCTTTATTTCATCTTTCTATTTAAAGGTACATGATGTGCAGACCCTACTTGTAAGGAAAATGTTGACATATTCCAAGGAAAGTTTATGTTAAAAATATATAGATACATTGTTTTTTATCTTTACCATTGTAATTGTTTTCCTCTTCTGTCATGAAGGCCTTTGCCATCACCATAGTTTTTCTCACCATAGTTAAAAGTGAGAATTCAGTGTGTAATATGGTAGGGGACCAATGGCTTATCTTTTTATAAACCATTTAAACAAGTGCTATGTCTAATCTTTTACTTCTTTCTCAATGATCATTTTTATAGAAGATATGAAATATATTCTCTAAGAGAAGACGTTTCTACTTACAAAAATTCCACCCATACCTCAAGGAAAAATTCACACCTAGTTGCATCTCCTATATGAAAGCTGAGTTGGATTTTATTTTTCATAAGTTTGAATAGGATTATGGTTTGCATATGTTAAATAGCTCAATAGGCCACCTAACATAATCTGTCATGCATCATAATGACAAATGAAGATGCCTCCTTTAAATGTAAAATGCTTTGAGGGAAAGTTTGGAAGGCCAGTGTCTTACACATCTTTGGGTGTTTCAGAGGCGAGCGTAGAGTGAGGGCTCAGAAGCTGTCACTAAACTACGTAGATACACAAAACATACCAGGAAATTTAATGATGGGACAGGACATACATGTGCAAACAACTCAGTTCTGAAATATTCAAAAGATGGGACAGAAAGATTTTCCTTTAAAAAAAATCAAATAATGAAATACCGTAAATAGCCACTAATCCACATTGAAATATTCTGGGAGTGCTGAGAGGAATATCAATTTCACTTATTAGCTTATCTATGGAGTTCCTAAGTGAGAGTACTGGTTTAAAAAATTTAAGAAGTAAAGCTGTGAATATTAATGTGAAAAAATTTTCCCATTTGTATGCAAAAGCCGTTTCAGGGCCAGTCCTGGACAAGAAGTTTAAGTTCATGGTATGCCCTCCGTCTGCCACAATTCCACCATTATCCCTCATCTAACCTGAGTGTGCACCATTGAATATTAAGCCTGGATTGAAGTAGAGCCTCATGATGGGTACTGCATTGAATATGAAGCCTGGATTGAAGCAGAGAGGAAATCCTTGGTTTACAGTATTTATGCTGTAAATTTTTCTTTGGCTATGAGTTGTACTTCATAAGAGAAGAAAAACAATAGTGTTCCAAGTACACAGAAACAGGAAGTTGGTAAGAATTGTTTGAACCTTGAGAAATTTTGAGTTGGTTTCTATATGAGGTGCAGGTTATGTCAGGAAGGCAAAAGACGTTAATCCCAGGCAATGATGCCTGTTAAGCTGTGAGTGAAAGATGAAGCCTAAAGCCTAAATGATCATTGAAAGAACATTGCCATGAAGATGTTTGATTACTACAAAATAAACAGTGAAGAGCTGACTGAGCAGGTCATTCTAAATCATGTCAGTTTGCAGACCAAGTCAGAACTTCACCGAACTATGAGCACGGGCAATCTGCAGAGCTCACTGCTGAAATGTGTCTACAGAGTTCTGTGCTGAATGTTCACAAATACCAGGTGTGGATGAGAATCCTGAGTGCAGGTCTCACTCGAACATCATCTTAGCTATAAACTCAAGAATAAACAACTCTGAGATAATCTTTTTATTTAAGACTCGCTGGTCCAGGGTTACATTAGAACGTTCCACTAACTCCATGTGTCTACATGTTCAGACCTTGAACTTTGTAACCAGTTTGAATGAAGTCACTGCAACATTACTTGTGCACTTCCAGTTGGCACTTCAGACTCAGGCTGGGGAAGTATGTCAAAACAATTTACAGTCATCCATTCCATTCTCTGCTGCACATTAATTCTGCAGATAAGCACTTGAGTATAAATGAGTTTGTAAGAATTGGTTTGACAGCCTGCCTCTTTCACTTTGATTTTGGATGGTGGACACATAGTGCAACATACAGATTTTGTTTTATAAAAATGTATACCAGAAACCTGTATGATCATCATAACCAATGTCACCCCAATAAATTTAATTTTTAGAAAGGATTGCTCAGCCAAAACGCATTTGGCAGGTATAAAAAACTGTTTGGAATTCAGAGAAGAGTGTATCTTCTACTGATGCAGAGATTATTTCATAAAATATTTGAAATAATAAACAACTAATACTCTGTGCTTTGCTATCACACTTTATGTCCCAGATGGGAAGGACATTTTACAAAAATTAAAGCTATTTGCACTTAAGGGCCAGAGGCAGAGCTTCTAATTTAGAGCAAATGTTAGTCCTTAAAGAATTACTTGTACAGCATAGGGAATATAGGCAATGATATTGTAATAATTATGTATGGTGTTGGGAGGTACTAGACTTATTGGGGGGATAACTTCATGAATGATACAAATGCCTAATCGCTATCTGATTACCTGAAACTAATATAATATTGAATGTCAATTTTATTTGAAAAATATAAAAAATTAAAAAAAATTATTGGATGCTTATTTGGCAACTTGAGGTGTTGAAAATATTCTATGAAGTTCCATTCATCACATTTAAACATTCTGTATAGTCAAATATTAAATATCCCACTTGTTTCTTACATGTAATTCTTCTTGGTTGAGAAATAACAGTACAGTTATTTCAGGTAAAGGAGGGAGAGAAAATCAGTGAAAGGAGAGATAGCCAGTGAATATGGACACGTGGGTGGGAGAAGGTGCGGGAATATTTAACCTTAGGAGAAAATGATCTTAGTTAGAATGTTCTCATGGCCTTATGTTGCCTCCTCTGTCCCACTTCCAATTACCTGTGTTAACCCCTCCAGTGAATATCCATGCGCCAGTTGTCATGGCTGCTTTGATAAGACCTTTCCCAAAGACTTGCTTGAGTTTTGGCTGGAGTTCAAAGTTCTGCAGGCCTCCATGGACAGAGATAAGAAGCTTGGGAAGCTCCAGCTGCCATTCCTTGGTCATCAGGTGTAAGAGGAGATCAGGTTTTGTATCGAAAGATACTCGCACATACTGGAAGAAGAAGAGCCTTGATTAGGGAGTCAGAGCAGGTCTAGCTAGTACTGCTTATCTTTAGTGATTACAATGACATGTGTACTTACTTGAAGAAAATATGTCTCATATGAACTCAGAATTCAAAAAAAGGCCCTGGCTGGTGTGGTTCAGTGGACTGAGTACTGGCTTGAGAACTGAAGTGTCACTGGTTTGATTCCCCATCAGGGCACATGCTGGGGTTGTGGGCCAGGTCCCCAGTGGGGGGCATCTGAGAGGCAACCACACATTGATTTTTCTGTCCCTCTCTTTCTCCTTCCCTTTGCTTCTGTCTAAAAATAAAGAAATAAAATCTTTTTTTTTTAAAAAGGGGCAAATCGTCTGCTTTGCCAAGTGAACATACAACATACAAAGGGAGTCAGCATTTTAAAAGATTTTCTTGAAATTGTGAATTACTACCAACTTTCAAATTGTTTGACTTTCTAAAATGCAGCACAAGCACAATTTTTCCTGGAATGTGTTCTTTGCTCCGAGGAAATCATGTTTACATTTTACCAACACTAACATTTGTGCAACAGTTCAAATGTTTCCAATATGTTCAATATAAGTAATCCCTTTATACCAGCGACACATGGCTCTGCTTCTGTGACCCTATTATTTTGAGAGGTTTTGAAAAGTTCTACAGTTTGACATAACGTAATGAGAATTTAAAATAAGGAAACAGCTGATTATATTTATTTAAATCTATAATAACTTCATACCAAATATTTTATCTTTAAAAGACAAGTAACAAAAGACATGTCAATTACTCTTGCAGAATAGTTGAAAAAAATTAAAGTGTATATAGAAGGTATAATAAGATATTACCAGATGAAACCAGAAATAGTTATGATAAGTGTATACAAATGAAATGCCATAGAACATATAATGATAAATTTATGTTTATGGTTACCTGCATCAAAATATATACAGATACTCCATTTAGATCTCAGTTTAATTGTATAAAGCCTTTCATCTCTATCTGGAAACAACTGAGACACTGAGAAAATATATTGGAAAGCCTTTTGTAGTTTGGTGCTGATCTGGCAGAGAGAGAATATTCAGATTCCTAAATAAAATGGAAGCTGGAACCTCAGGAGACAAGGAAGCACTAGAGCAGGCTTTAGCCCAGACAGTTTCTTCTGAACTCTGGAAGACCCTGAGTACTTGCTTTAATGACTTTCTGCAGTATGGGTGAGTCTAATGTGGCACCCCTATAAATCTGGGATTTAATGCCTCCACCCTCAAGAGTAAAGAAGAAAAAATAAGTCTGATGTACAGAAGAAGAGAGCAGGGGAGTTTGCCTGCTTACCTTTGTTCTAAGTAGATAGGAAAAAAATTCCCCTCTGGTTATTTATAAACAAACATGATTCTCACACTGGTTTTGGTCGACATTCACACTATAAGTTTGGTTTCAGAAACATCAAGCAGAGTAATGCAAAGTGGTTCTGGTGCGGTAAGGGCTCCAGGTAATGGACACAAACAAAATGCAAATGCTTTGTGCAGGAATGTGCCAACAATCCAGGTCTCAAATAATTCCCACAGGAAAATAATAATTTCATAGCAAAAATTAAAATAAATTACACACGGAACTAAAGCAGCATGAATGAGAATAAAAGGAAAGGACAGTAAAATAAGATTCTCAAAGATGGTGAAATGATCAGACACAGAACAGAAATAGCTGTATGTTAAAAAACATAAATGAAAAGATTGCATATGTGAGTAAAGAACAAGAGATTATAAGGAATGACCACATACACTTGAAAAATAATCAGAAAAAGAATTTCTGAAATGAAAATGTAATAATTTAAATGAAGAAAAATGGATAAATTAAACTACAGATCAGACATGCTAATGATAAATCCAGAGAAACAAACCAGATGCCAGTGAGAGAGACAAAAAGAATTGAAAGCAGAAGAAAAATTGAGAACCTTGGAGGAAATAACCAGAATTCTAGATAAAGATAAAAGAGATAATGGTGAATAGGCAATAGCTGGACAGATACTGGCTGGGAATTTCTCAGAATTGTTGAAAAGCATCAATTCTCAGCTCCAGGAAGCTCACTGAATCCCAGGCAAAATAAATAAAAAGAAACCCTACCCATAGACACCTGATAGAGAACACCAAAGGGAGGGGAGGGGAGAAACCTTCAAGAGCAGCTAGAAACAAAGGCAGATCACCTACAAAAAACATTTACCAGACTGAAGACCTATTCCTCAACAGCATCAATGGATGCGAGAAGCCAATGTCTTCCATGTGCCAAGAGAAGTTGTCAATGTAGAATTCCATACTTGGCAAAAATACCTTCTGAAAATGTGAGCAAATTAAAGATATTTCAGACTATCAAAATTGAGAATTTACCTCTAGGAGACTTCATGAAAGGAAATTAAAAAATATATATAGCAGGTAGAAGTTACATCATTCAAAATGGATGATCTACGGTACACGAAAGAATGGTAAAGATATTAGCAAATATACAGTAAATGTAAGAAAGCATTGGTTGTCTAATTTATGGTGGAAAGGGTTAGAACTAAACCACAAACTTAATATAACATATAAATTGGGTCATAGTAATCATAGGTAAAGCATTCTAAAGTCTGTATATTGTATGTGAGAAGAGAAAGTTATTGATTAACTTTAAAATTTGTTAAGTATTAATGTTACAGTGTCATACCCACAAAAAGAATAGACCAACATGTAATCATACAAACACATTTTTGGGTGGATAAATAAACTTTTTTGTGAGATGATAACTTATTGTCATTTTTTGAATCTGAGAGGCCCATTTTTGGAAAAACCTAAAAAATTATGTCAATTCTTTTGTTGAAGTATTTTAAATATAGTTAGTTGAAATGTGAGGCAAAAACACTCAGAATATGAAAGTTGTTTGATAAAATAAACTGCATCATCAAAAAATACCAAAAAGCTAAAGTTTTCTATACCCATATAAAAAACCTAAAGAAGTGTTAGAATCTAATAAGTTGGTTCTATATTGATTTGATCTATGTAGCAAAAATCAATTCCAGAATGGAAAGAGTAAAGGTTGGCAATTTTAGCTAAGTACATTATATCAATAAAGTTTAACTGGAGTTTGCAATATGAAAATGGCATATTTTGTGCACAAACTCTCATGCAGTAGGCAAAGAACTTTCAGATAATTATCAACAGAAATTTTCAACAAAATTGTGCACTTCTGTGCCATGAAGGAAGCCGTGGGCCTGGAGACAGGATATTTCAATATGGGAGCAAACCAAGTGTTTCTTAAATAAAATCTTATTAGGAATCTATTGTTACATTTATATCTCAATGAGTGACTGCTTGTAAGAAAAATATCTAGATAATGAATGCTATAAGATGAAAGAATAAAATGTTTTCTGTGTCTGTACACTGAATCTGTATTACTTGATTAGTTAGAATTTGGCGGCTCTGCTGGATTGAATGTTTATCATTTTGACTAATCCAGAAAGGGATTTTTAATAAACAGAAATAAACAGAACTGGGACTCAACACATCTTTCAAACTATACAAACCAAGAATGCTTAGTGTGAGAGATGGTAAGAAATTTCTTTTCAAGCTGCTGTTGTCTTATTCACAAACTTGAACATATCACTCTCTTATTTCTTCTAAGAAAAACACAATTAAATAAGGACCCATATTCTTCTAAGGTGAGATATGTTATACTTTATAAAAAAAATATAGAAAACCATCTAAAGAATAAAGATCCTTCTAAAATTATGTGTTCCTTGAACAATGCTCCTCACAATTCTGAAGGATTGTAAAGACATAGTTCCAATGATTAGAAAAGGCATATGTGAGAACAGTATGTTTTGAAAAACAAGGTAAGTAGTTATTATTTGTAGCTTTTGGAACTTCAAGACACCTCATTAACCATCCCTACCTATACATTTCATTTATTCAGGTAAATAATGAGAGATTCAGAGCTACAGTTAGTATCAGGAAAAAGAAGTGGGTACATTATTAATTTACATAGTGTGAAAAGAGATTAAAATTGATACTAAATCACCACAGAGATTTGTAATAATTTTAGTAAGCTGAAACCAGCTAAATAGCATAATATGAAATTAAATTATTCATACTAATTGGTAATAATAGTCCAAATGCGTTTTTAGGAATAAGCCTCACTTGGTAAATAATTCACTTTGGGGCCTTCTAAAGTTACCTGTACAACTTACCAGTAAGGAACTGATTTATTGATCATGTGAACAGTTCACTGGAAAATGACCAACAGATTAATGAATGTGATGAGATTTCTGTTGAACCAGCCTTATCCTTTTACTAGTTGGTGAACTAATAAAAGCTTGTTCATGATCACAGAATGCTTGTTACTCAGCTAATAAGTTCTCAGTGAGGGAGTAAAGGAGTGGCCTTGATCACCTCATCCCAGCTTTGTCTTCCTGATGAAGAGATGGAAGCTCTCATTGTCAGGCCTGCGTACAGTCACATTGTTCATAGGCTCTCTTCACATATTTCTCTTGATTCTCAGTTTTTTAATTCTACTGAGGAAAAAATCCTCCAACTAACACCCAAAATCCAGGTGTATTTACTGTGTTGCAGGCACATACATGCTGTGCACTTCCTATGCATCATTTCATGGATGCTTTCGAATCATGAGAAGATTGATATCATCCACATTTTACTGAAGAGGGGCAGAAAGGATCCATCAGGTTCTCAAATACAAGTGGTGATGTCAGGAGTCACAACCCAGGTCTGTCTGACTCCAGGATCCTTGCTCTTGACCTCTAAAATAATAAATGCCTCCCTGTCCTTCCTTCTTTCCCTTCACCTACAACCAAGCAGAGTCCGAGTCCTAATGATCCATTTCTCAAAATGTGCTCTCCACCAGGTTTCCCTCTATTGCTTCAGTTGCTATTTTAAGAATAAATTGTCCTTAGAAGGATGTCAGCTTGGATATGTTAACAGTCCTAACAGCTTCTTCTTTGTGAGACACCAACAGGAAGACT